TGGGGGGGAGGGTGGGAGTATTGCGCTCCCATTGTGTGCATGTGTGTGTTTTGTTTTTTGGTTTTCCTTTTTAATAAAAGCTAGCAATTTTTTGTCCTTAGATTTCTGGCTTTTCATGTTAATATTGTATCTATCTTATCCCTATACCACATCTTCTCAGGAATGTTCTAACCTGGGAAGAGTTTCTCCAAGTTTCAGAATTAATCTGAAGCACTGGATTTGGCATGTTTTGCTTAGCAAAAAGTAAATGGTCCCTGTTAATGCAGTATAACTTTTAAGTCTGCTTTTTCATTTCATACTACTTCAATTTCATTTTTCAAGTTTGTGCTGAAAACAGCAATACATAAATGTGGGGTGCCATTGTGAATATTTATTTTGGCTATTTAGAAGTGTGACTGTATCTCTATGAAAGAAAACATTTGCATTTTATATTTCTTAAAGCTGATTGTATTATATATTGCAGTGTGCGACTTAGTCTTCAGTTCTATTTTGAACTTAGAGGAATTGTAGAGATTTTCATCAAAATATTTGTGTGCGCTAAGGAAAGCATATCAGAAAGGTATAGCCTACAGACAGGGTAGTTCAATCTGTGCTCGGCTATTTCCAGCTGTCTGATAGAGGGATGTGAATCACAATTATTGTAGAATTTTCTCTGGAATAAGTTTTAGCCCTTTTATTGGGAAGGTGTCATCAAAAATGCATGAAGATGAAGTGATATCCTCTTGACCTTCTGAGTGCTAGTTTAGCCACCCTCAAAGAGAAGTATAGTGAAATAAAATATGGATTTTTAACTAATCCACGTCCATACACACAATTGCATTAACCAATACAAAAGTTGGAACAGTACTTTTTCTTCTGGTATAGTAGTTTAGATTTTTGGTTGGGATATGTTACTTAAGTTAACTTACATTTTAGTTTCATAGACACAATAAATTTCCCCAAGAATTAGTTTAATTAAATTGGTAAGCTGTTCACCCTCCAAGCCCTAGTAACCAGTATGGAAGTTTAAGTTATCACTTGTTCAGCTTTACCTATGGGTAAAACCTGAGTATGGACACATTCATAGCTTTGGCCTTTCTTTTAATAAGGGGGAAGAGGTTTGTTTGTTTGTTTTTTTTTTTTTTTAAAAAAAAAGCAATGGAACTGTTTCTAGAGAAGGCAGGAAGGCAGGAATAAAATGCGGTTAAGTGTTTTTTTATTATTTTTAAGGGGAAGAAGTAGTAAAGAGTTAAATGGAATAAGTCTACATCGTCTCACTTTGTCATTTTTTTTTCTTCTTTCTTTGCAAGGCTTTGGGAGGAGGTAAGGGCCTTTCTTCTGAGAGTATTGATGAATTTCACGGCTAAAAATTCTGGTTGAGGGAATTCTCAAGCAGTTTATTTTTTTTTCTTCTAATAGTTGGGAATGGTTGTGTGAGGGTTAAGTGTCACAAAGTTGTCATTATGCCTCTACTTGTTTTATTATATTGATAAAGGGAAGGAGGTTTGTATATCTAGTTAAGTGCTTTGTGAATTTCAAATCCTGCAGGTGGATGTTCCTCCCCTCCCTCCCCCTCTTTTTGAGAACAGATAATATAGGGGTCTAAGGACATATGAAAATTAAAGTGCAGAAGAAATTCATACTTAAATCATACTAGTGAAATGTAGTGTTTAAACATAAATCAGAATAAAGCAGAAAAATTGGAACACAGAAAAACATTGCTTTATGACATGAAAGGCTTACCTTGCTTAGCTGATTTATTTTAAAAAGCAAGCAGGAAACTGTCAAGGAACAACTTACATGATGCATCCCTTTTGGAGCTAAATTTTGTACATGAGTATTGAGTATAGGTGTTGGATCTTCTCTTTCTGGAATCTAGAGTAGGTGGTTGTGAACAGCAGCACTGTATAAGTGTGAATGATACTAAGTCTAGAGTGTGTGTGGTCTTTTTTTTTTAAACCATGTTCTACTGAGGTACTCTTATCTCTTTATTTTTTAAAGAGCAAGCTTATTTTGTAAATATCTTATTCT